GCAAGAACCACGTCCGGCGAGTCAATATCAAATAGATCATTTGGACTGATTCCACTCTCACTCAAAGCAGCAAGCAACAGATCCTGTCCTGGCTCCACCATCTCTAAAAAAATTAGAACCATAAATACAAGTTACATTTAATTTTGGTTTATTTTGTGCACACACACACACTCACATTTCAAGTTCCCTTTCCTGGATTTAAGGGCATACGCGATGCAGTCTCTTGTATACACAGAGTTTCACTTTCTAGATTTGCTCCGGCTCTTTTGTTCATTTGCAGATTTTCCCTCTATTTTGTTTTTTAAAATCTCTTCAATATACCTACCACATTTAGAAACAGGAAGAATGAAATAGTTCACTACACAAAATGCTATCTTATCCGTAAACTTAAAAAGATGCCTTTTCTAGTCGTCATCACACTACATTTTTAAACATTACAAGAAATACCAAGAGGCAGAAATGGTGAGAGTGTATTATGCTAATGATACATCTTTGTCAGTGAAGCATACTGCACGCGGGAAGCACAATTAAAACTCATTTCGTTTATCTTGTAACAACAGGTTAGTGATAAAAAGCTTATAAGGAAAGCTTTTATTTCTTGCTTGCCACTACATTAGGTAGGAATTCATTCATTGGAGAAATTTTGTTTTGCATAGTGGAAAGAACAATGTTCCACTATTATAGTATGTTAACTACATATTAAATAGGACACTAACATCAGGTCACAGACTCCTTTATGTGTAGGCCAAGCAAAATTAATTTCAAAAAGTTATTCTAGACAGTTTAAAAGTTATTAGAAAAGCTAAATACTCTGTTTTAAGATGAAGACAGGAGATAATGTGTTTTGCTTCCTTAAGAAGGAAGCCCATTTGCCCTAGTACTGAGACAAAAATTAAATGAGTCCACATAACTTGAGCTGTTGCTTATATATTCTAAGATACACCCCAAGCAGAAATTCATTTCACTTATTCTCCACATACACCCCCCACCCCGTAACGCCCACTGGTAACAAGCATCAAAAGCTAACAAAGCTGAACACCTACTCTAAAGCCGATAAGAGGACAAAAATATTTATTGGCATTTTAGATACACTCATTCACAGTCTCCAAAACCGCATTCACTTGCTTATCCTTCTCTATACGTACAGCTAAGCCACGTCCAGCTGGTTGGTCGCACACATTACTTACGGCATTTGGCAGAACAGGTAATTCTTGTAATAAATAAAGCCTCGGGCACTTAATTCTTATTATTCTTAGTTTTAGTCTAATAGTAGGGAGAGACCTTCTTTTAGTGGACTGAGATGGTGGCACAACTGAAGTAGTGGATGTAAGGTACTGGGACAAGGGGAAGATATACTTTTAAGCATCAAAGACCGTACTACCCAAAAGAATACCAAAGCAAGAAACAATAATTGGTGGGACTGCTACTGACCTCACGCAGTCCCATTAAACACCACTTGCTGTGTCAGAACTAGACTCTGCTTTTTTCTTAAAAAAAAAAAGGCATTTGAGGTGATCAGATAAATGGCAGAATGGCCTGGTTTGTAGTTATCAGGTACAAAAGATATTAAGAAATATTAAGATATCTAGCAGATTTAATTAACATTGCAGCTCCTTCAAAGGATGTCACCTCCCACTAGTCTCTCTCCTAGAACCCTGAACGGGTCAAGAAAAACAAGTAAGAACAGACTGTTAGCTCTACCTTTCAGAAGGATTAAGACTCCTGTCTCAAAAAAGGGGACTACACATATATTTTAATTGGGTAGGATAAACCCTTAATTTTCATCAGACCAAAATACTAACAGCGATCGTATCTAAGTTTAGAAGCTTACAGCATTGTTTACTAATTAGAAACAGGTGAGAGGAGAAATATTAAGTCTGCAGATGAAGTTTTAGCTTATCAGTACTTCTGGTGTTAGGAACTTCAGAGCAGCCATTGAAGGTGAATTTCTCCACAGAAGGGGAATTACCACAGATTACCCCGTCAAACCAGCAGCTCCGAAACACTTTAATATCGTAACTTTATAGTATCAATTTGGGAAAGAGGCATGAGCACTCCTCCACATAGTGCAACACCTTTGCTCAACATGGCCAAATAAACAAAAATGTCTACATGTACAAAGGACAAAATGTCAAAGGACAATATGTCTTTAGTCTGCATGTAGTTTTGATCACACCTTCCCTAAAAGAAGGTATGACTAGAACTTAGTTGAGAGGTAAGTGGCTATACTGAATATATATATAATATATATATTATATATATTATTATAATATATATATTATTATCAATATATATACTGCATGGAAAGTCAGAAGCTTGGGGCTGTTTATTTAAAAGAGAACCAGGACAAAAAAATTACTCAAGATACCTTCATATATTACAAGAGTAGACTAGAAGTTAAGGCTCAACTGTGAAGTTGAGACTCAAAGCAAAACCAAGGCTAGAAAAAAAAAACATGCCAACACCACACAAAACACACATCTTCCCCAATCATCCTAAACCAGTGCCACAACCGATCAAGTCTGTTTCAAGTCAACTTTAACATATCCACAGTGACACTAAACTCTACATTTTTAACCTTTAAAAACACGATGGCTTGGATATCTTAAGTCAGTCTCACAGAGTTCAGAAGAAAACATTCATCGCAGTAATACTTTAATTGCTTACTTCAAAACTGTCACTAGATGACTAGTGATAGAAACTAGTATAGCAATTCCTACAATTCCAGAATAAGTATCTTCAGTTTAGAAGCACCCCTTTCTTAGCAGGGCTGTTTTCACATAAGAAATCCCCCAGCTGCATCTCATGCTAATCCCAATTTTAAGTCTTAAAAATTAGCGGTTGCTAACAATCCAGCAAAAAGCTAAGTAAAACAACAGTAATTATTTATTTGTCTGTCAGACAGTTTGGACAATGAAGTTTGACTAGTTTCACTTATTTTGTTTCTGTACACTAGGAACAAAGCTGCATTGTTTGAAACTGGAACAAAAGGAATTCTGAACTTCTAGAATTTTTACATTAGAAATCGCTGAATACTTAGCACCAATTTTAGGCTTTATAAAACTTCCAAGCACCACTGCTGCCCTCCCCCCACCCTCTAATTTCTCCTTTCCCCCCTATAGTTTTAGTCTAGTAAGGAAATTAAACAAGAAAAAAAAAAACCAAGAGAAGCTGCATTGTGATAGCTTAGTTTATTTTTTGTGACATACGCTAGTCAAACCCAGAACGTTATCAAGCTGAAACAGCTCCATAATCTTACAAGGTAGGAGGCTCCTTAGTTAACATAAGTGAAAGCGACTTTATCAAGCTCTGCAGCTCAGCTTTGGCAATACTATATAAGGACCTGTTTGCCACATCTTAAAAATCTCCAAAAGAAAATACTTATAAAAAAGTTGTGAATATTACAAGCTGTTCCCTGAGCATTTCACCAGGCGAAGAACTGTTCTGAGCATGCAGAATCTTGCAGATAAGGTTGTCTATGTTTAGTCAGGCTGTCCAATGTCACTGAGCAAGAATCAACCTGTTAGATAAAACTAAAAAAAAAATATATAAAATTTTAACAGCAGTAGTATCTCAATTATTTTCTTTGTATTAAGAAAAAAAAATAAACTGCTGCCATTTCAAGAAGGGCTATCAAAACACACCAAGCATTTTTGTAAGGTGCTCTTCTGATGAAGAATATACCCTAAAACTTTGATAAAAAAAGACAGTTTTGCTACTACTGCACATTATGTAAATAACTTCCGATTTAAAGATACAAAATCAGAACGCCATGTTTAATATTATGTCATGTATCCATGCCAACCTGGCTCTCTCCCTCCCTCCATTTTAGCTTTGGTACAAAGAAGCAAAACAAAAAAACCAAAAAAAAGATTCTAAAACACATGTCGAGCATCCCACTCTCTATTTCCCCTAAGAAAAATAATGGTAGAATCCTAAACAATGGAAAGGCTTTTGATTTTTAGGTCTGGGAGCTACACGTTGTAACACTGTATACCTAAAGCACTTATTTAAAAATCATGATGAACTAGAGTATCACAACTTAGCCCAAATCAAACATCACAATCAACTAGGCACAGCTGTTTCCAAACCCTTCAGATAGCTGGCCTCTGTGGCATACCTAACCTGCAAACTTAGGTTTTAATGCTTGGCCTGGGACACTAATGTATTTAATCAACTCTTGTTCTCCTTTTATCGGAAGGGTTTTTCCCACTGGCTTTCCGAGGAATACATGTCACTTGAACTATACTGGAAGCCATTTAAAATATCACACAAATTCTGAAGTGGTAGAGAAAAGACAGATACGTCCCCCAGATTCTCTGGCTGTCTAAACTATGAGCTATTATCAACCTAAACATTTCACATCTCCGTTTGCAGCCTCTCACAAGAGAGGTGTAAGGGCTGCTAACCCCCAGTCCCACACAACAGGATTCTCTGGATATCCAGATGGGTTCTGCTCATCTCGCAGCTTTCGGCTCCGGAAGGCAAGCTGGGTAACAACAAAAAAGAAAAAACCCAACCAACCCAACCCCTTCTGGTCCTTTCCAAGTCACCATCCAATCAAAGAGTAACACACTAATTACTGAACTCGCTCATCCTTACGTGCTTTAACCTCAAGACTAGTAGTTAACGTCGCATTTAAATGTACAAAGTTAACTTTTGATTTTTGTGAAAACGATTTCAATCCTGTAAAAAACATACCAGTTTTTCAAACACTGGTTACCTCTCTAAAGTCAAAGCTTGTAATTACATGAGGTACCGTTCACGATACTGTGGTATTCAACTCTGCCTCAAAGCTCTGACTGTTTCATGAAATTCACCGTAGTCAGGATACACAGTCTAAAAATGTGAAATTCAGAAGTTGTTAGAGAGACTAAACAATGCAATGATTTGGCTTGAAATCAGCTTCCAGACTAAATGGTTGGAGGTGATAATTTAGCCAGTAGCAGAAGTTTTAACCCAGAAGAGATAAGAGCAGTATCTGAGCACTGAACCCTTCCTTAGGTTTGGCCTGGGAGTCAGTTCTAGGTATATCTTGAGGCACAAGAAATGCATTAACCCTATCTCCTACCTACCTCAATAGTTTTTAAGTAGCTATCAG